GCCCGGCAGGGAGGCCGCGAGGCAGGAACCGGCCGTTCTGACCATCGGCCGTTCTGGCATTTGCCAGAACTGCCAGATGGCTAGTCCGGCCCGAGTGGTGTCTCGAATTACGAACATCCCAATTTACGACCAATTTGAGTTATGACCAACTCCAGCCGCAAAATTTTGCTTCGACTTGCGATTGGAGCTTTGAGTTACGACTGGAAAAAAGGTGGGGGGAAAGGCAGGGAATTTAAATTGCTAACCGTTGGTTGGCAAAGAGGGTGCTTCTTTGTAGCTCTTAGTCCGGCCCGAGTGGTGTCTCGAATTACGAACATCCCAATTTACGACCAATTTGAGTTATGACCAACTCCAGCCGCAAAATTTTGCTTCGACTTGCGATTGGAGCTTTGAGTTACGACTGGAAAAAAGGTGGGGGGAAAGGCAGGGAATTTAAATTGCTAACCGTTGGTTGGCAAAGAGGGTGCTTCTTTGTAGCTCTTTTGCCCCAACAGTTAGAGTGTGTGTATTCAGAGGAGGCTTCAGACTGCCCGGTGCTGCTTTCTGCTTCTGAGTGAATACATACAGGGTTTTGCAGTGTGGGTTTGGGCTGGGGGAGGTTATGTTTCTCTGCTGTGATTTTTTGTTTTGTTTTTTGGTGTGGTTTTCTTTTCAGCCCCAGTGCGTTCTGATGGAGCTTGCTGTGTTGTTTTTTTGGGGGGGTGATTTTTTTCCGGCCCCAGCATGTTCCGATGGGGCTTGCAGTGCAGTGTTTTCCCCCCAGCCCCAGCGCGTTCCAGTGGAGCTTGCAGTGTTGTTATCTGGTGATTTTTTTTTCAGCCCCAGTGCATTCTAATGGGGCTTGCTCAGGTGGGTTTTTTGTGGGGTTTTTTTCCAGCCCCAGCACATTCCGATGGGGATTGCTGTGTTGTTTTGTTTTTCGGTGTGTGTGGCTTTTTTGGGCCCAGTATGTTCCGATGGGGATTGCTGAGTTTTTGTTGTTGTTGTTTTGATTTGTTTGTGATTTTTCCCCTGGCCCAGACCATTCCAATGGGGCTTGCAGTGTTGTTTTTTGGCGATTCCCCCCCCCGGCCCAAACGCGTTCCAGTGGGGCTTGCTGT